TTACTGGCGATTGCTTTCTCTTCTATAAAACCTACAGGTAACGGTAGGGCCTAGCCTACTAAAATACAAGAAACATTGGGGTTTCCCCAACAAGAAAAATAATTAAATTTAGGCCTTTATTATAAACATTTCTTCATGAACTGTCACCTAGCGTAGGCTAGCATTTTACTACCAGGCTACTACTATAGGCCTAGGCCTACATAGCCTAGGTACGGTAGGGACACTGAACAAGTTTTGAAGTTGTTTAAATCACGATCAAAATTCCAAATTTCGCTGAACGCGTTTAACATTTTGCCATTCACGAGCAGTCAGCCATATGAAAAGGGGAGGAGTTAACTTCCAAACGGAATAAACGGCTCGAACGACAAGCTTCCAAACGGCATTTCACAGACGCGTTTGGGAGCTTGTCATATAACAATAGTAAACGTGTTTGACCCGTTTCTGTCGTTGGGGATAATTTGTAGATCACGCCTTAGAGAAAAGCTTGAAGAACTGACGGTAAATACCACAACTTTAAGGGAATTCAGGGATGCATGTCTAATATGCGTTACTGAAACATGGTTCCGGTCGGATGTCGACACTCATAGTTTTAGCCATATTGATGGTTTCACTTGCTTACGAGCGGACAGAACGCCCGATGCGTGCAAAGATGGTGGAGGAGGTGTATGTATCTACATCAATAACCGTTGGTGCTCAAACATAAAAGTCTTCAGGCAATACTGTACAAAGGATATAGAATTGCTTACGGTCGCTCTTAGACCTTACTACCTACCCAGGGAATTCCCAAAAATATTTGTTATGGTGGTATACATCACTACAACAGCCCTTGTTGAAAATTTAGCGGATTATTTACAAGATCTAATACGAGACATGGAGAATGACTCGCCGGACGCTGTTAAAATTCTCACGGGTGATTTTAACCAGTGCGATCTGAAGAGTACCATACCACTTTATCATCAGTATGTTGACAAACCCACCAGAGGTAACAATATTCTAGATAAATGCTATGGAAACTTACCTGCAGCATACAAATGTGTCATTAAACCTAAAATTGGCACATCAGATCACGATGTCGTTCATCTGTTACCACAATATGTTCAGAGAATTAAAGCAATCAAACCTACTATTAAGTCAATAAGAATTTGGTCTCGAGATAGCATTGAAACATTAAGAGGGTGTTTTGAAGTTACAAATTGGGATGTCTTCTTTGAAGGATCTACGTTAAATGGAGCAACGGAAGCAATTTCACATTATATTGATTTTTGTGTCGAGTCTGTTGTTCAAGAAAAGCAAATCAAAGTATATCCGAACAACAAACCGTGGCTCAATGGAAGTATTAAGAAATTATTCCAAAGAAAGTATAAATGCACTGATGAAATGAACAGAAAAGAAATACAAAAAGAGATAAAACATGAGGTTTCACGCTGCAAGAGAAAGTATGGACAAAAGGTAGAAGAAAAGTTCAAGTCTGGAAATACCAAGCAAGTGTGGAAGTGTATGCAAATGATGACAGGTTATGACCAGAAATGTGTAAATAGTGTTAAAACAGATTATGATAAAAAAAAATGGCTACTGATCTTAATTCATTCTACCTGCGATTTGATAATGATCATGATTTTAGTGACATTAGATATCAAATTGAAAATAATATTAGAGATAGCATGACAGATATAAATCTAGCAATGATTAACACAATGGATGTTAAGCGTGTGTTTAAAACAATTAACCCTAGAAAATCTAGAGGTCCAGATGGTGTCAGTGGAAAAGTTTTAAAGGAATGCAATGAGCAATTGTCCCATGTTTTTTCTCGTTTATACAACTGGTCACTCAATTCTCATGAAGTACCTGCATTATGGAAACGCTCATTAATCCATCCACTGGCCAAAATTAGTAACCCTAGAATGCTAAATGATTACAGACCTATTGCTCTTACTACCGTGCCTATGAAATGCTTTGAAAAACTAGTTAAATGTGAGATCCTTAATGAAACCAATGATAAAGCAGATCCATATCAATTTGCTTACCGTCCTAAGAGAGGTGTAGAAGATGCCATTACTACCCTATTGCATAAAATTCTTGTTCATCTAGAGAGTGCTAATGCATATGCTAGAATTTTATTTTTAGATTTTTCCTCAGCTTTTAATACAATTAAACCTCATATTTTAATGGAGAAGATGAATGTTTTAGGTATTAACCCATCTCTTATTTTATGGATCAACAACTTTTTAAAGGATAGGGAGCAATTTGTCTGTTTTAACAATTTTAACTTTGATATACGTACGTGCAATACTGGAGCTCAACAGGGCTGTGTTTTATCTCCTTTTCTTTTCTCTTTATATACTAACGATTTTAAATGTACAAATAAACAAGTTTTAAATATGCAGATGACACTTGCCTAGTTGGCCTTGTGAAGGATAATGACACTGGGGTATATCTTGAGAACATTACGACAATATTTTGCAAGCAGTGCAATTTTATTCCCTGAATTCGACCTCAAGGTAGCTTCCTCATGGGCTAACGGTACACTGTAGGGATCAGTCAAGCGCGTAACGGCTTTGAAACAGTTTATTTGTAATTTAGGGGGTTCCACAACTACAAATTAAATGCCGTAACATTTTCATATGGACTTTCAATTTTTATTCTAAACAACATACATAATTATCTAAATACCATTCACAGTTTTATTTTTACCCTCAAAAGAAGACATATTTTACCCTGCTTTACAGTCTTCACCACTCACATGTACGTAGTCATGTACACATAAGAAAATAGAATCGACCATCTCAAACCAGTGAACCGCTCGAAAAAATGGGTGTTTTACAAAAACTGACATTTATATACTGCTGGTACTAAAAATCTATACGTTTTTACTGCATATAGTTTACATCATTTGAATCTCTATCCTTTTCTTTTGCCTATGATAATAATTTTAGTGTTTAAAAATAAGGATAATTTAGTCATTTTATCTGTTTTTCCAGAGTATATTTCAAGCTCTACATCCACGTGAGCGTCAGACTGCCATATGCTTGTAATGCTTAAGCATATGGTGAGGAGTTTTGGATGATTCTCATAAATCTGATTGGTCCGATAAAACTACTCAACCGATCAATCTTTTATTTGGAATACATTTAGAAGACAAAAAGGGCTTTCGAATGGACTTTTCCCAAAAGAAATCGGCCCACAACTTTCGACTGTAGAGGGATTTATGTTAAAGACAGCTGGGATATTTCGACAGATTTCACTGTTTTTACGCTGAAAAAATACACGAGTGGGTTTGATAAAAATCAAAAGTCCGATAAAGGTGTTAACATTACACTTATAAATTTGTAATTGTTGTAATGATTATTAAATTGCGATCAGTTTTATCTTTTCCCAAAAAAAATCGATGGAGTATTTGCGAAGTTATTACAAAAAGAAGTTGAAAAATGACCAAATTTAGTGGTTTTTGGCGACCTTCACTGCCGTTTTATCGAATTTAGACACGAAATATTGTCGTAATGTGTCGATCGCTTTTCAACATGGTGCCAAGATAATTGTTTAAAGTTAAATGTTAAAAAGACATAGGAGATTATCGTTGATTTTAGAAAAGGCAACAAGACACATATGACCTGACTATTATACATGATAAGGTTGAAATTGTTAAACACCATAAATATCTTGGTACAATTATTGATGATATGCTTGACTGGAAAGAGAATACAAAACACATTACCAGTAAGTGCAATCAGAGGCTGTACTTCCTAAGACGTTTAAAGAAATTTCATGTATGTAATAAAATCATGGTACTCTTTTATGAATCAGTCATTTTATCAATTCTAACTTTTAGTGCAATAGTCTGGTTTTATAGCCTTGATAAACAGAACATGAAAAAAGTTGTAAGAATTAGTAGAACAGCTGACAGAATTATTGGGACCAAAAACAGTAAGAATATAGAAGATTGTGTTAACAGTGCAATGTGTAAAAAAATGGAAGTAATTATATCAGATGTTAATCACCCTCTTAATCAGTACCTCGCCTTCAGCAGGACTGGACGTATGTTATATCCAAGGATGCGGACAAATAGAATTTGTAAATCATTTCTCCCAAGCGCTACGAGACAATTTAATAAAATGTGGAAAAGATAGGCCTATGCTGTATTCCCCAATCTGCTTGCCTTTGCCAAAGCTGATTTTTCACAGAATGTTTAACCAATTTTAACCCCTTTTTAATCTTTTTAGCCTTTTTAACCTTTTAGCAGACATTTATGTTTTTAAATTTTTGCTGTTTCCTCTGTGATTTTATCCTTTGTGTCTTGTTTTAACTTACATTTTAACTGTGAACAAACAAGAAGAATTTCAAACCATGTTCTCACTGTGTTTGACAATAAAAGTTGAATTGAATTGAATTGAATTTTTTCATAGCATTTTGTTATTGGAAACTATTGAATATCCTGACCCAGTAAATGCAGATGGAACAGTACCAACTGTGCGTAGACGTCCCCTACCAGAAATAGAGAAACCAAAACAAAATATCACAGAATGTAAGTTAGGATAGTCATGAGTAGATTTTTCACATGATTGAAAAACGGTAACTGTAGGCCTACATGATTTGGTATACAGGAGTTGGTGCTGAAGTTTGTTACCACTTGTATTGTAAACATGAATATTATTAAGAAAAGTAAATGAAGAGAATAATGTTGGCAGCATGTGCAATATAAAAAAAAAAACAATTGTAAAAATAAAGAATAACAATTTTAATAGATGCATAACATTGAGAACATTATTACAACTATTACTAAATTAATTAAATATATTTGAAATATAAAATTATATTACTTGTTTATCAATCTTTAGTTTTTATTTATAATGCTGTATGTATTATTAAAAGGTTGCTGATACATTAAAAGTAAATAAATCCTTTTATCCTCTGTTTGAAAAACCTTTCACAAGATATGAAATATTTTTGATGCTATGGCCTTTCCATTATACAAAAAGGTCTACACAAGATGTGTATACTGTATGTTTAATTCCTTATGTACATTCAGGGCCGCCAAGAGGGGAAACTGTAACAGGCGCAAGGGTTGGTGTGGTCCTCCAGTTACGAGCGTGAAGCGCGAGAAAGATTGCGCGAAGGCACATACAATTTTTTTTATGGGGCCCTGTCAATCTGGAGGAGCCCATTATTAGGGGACCCATGACATTATTGAGGGCCCATGATAGTAATTATTTTTGAAAAATATATGGGGGAAAAATGCTACCTGCAATTTTTATGGGCCCTGGTAAACTAGGGCCCTGGGGATCTTTTCCTCCTCTCTTGGTGGCCCTGTGTAGATTCAAGCTATTTGTGTTGAATTTAAATAAAAGATGTATCTTAGATGTATGCCGTTGCAAATTAAATCTGATCATTATGTTTCAATTACAGTATAAAGAAGCTTCTGTGTGTGTGGATTTTTTTTGGTCATTATTTAATTTGTTTTAATATTATTATCTTTACTGAACATATTTATATACAAAGCCATGTTGATTGGTGGATGGATGGATGGATTGGGTTAGTTAGTCCCTTTATATTTTAGTCTCAGATCAATGTACAGTAGATAACTTTAGAAAAGAAATAATACTGTACACTACATGAAATTCACTGGTTTAATGCCTTTTTGTTTTGATTGTAATTCTGCTACATAACGTTTGTCAACCACCGCGTGCTGAATGGTACAACAATGTTACAATTTTAATGCAGCATACGCAGTTTACAAAAAAAAACAAAAAAAAACATATAGATTTATATAATTAATATGACTGGTTCTTCTGATTGTGTACATTTCTAAAATGTCCAGTGAGAAACATCGAATCTTATATAGCGATTATTTTAATTTTCATATGGCCTGGATGGTATAAGAATTAGTCAAAATATCATTGACAGATTTAGATAGCCTCCTGACTAGGCCGGTGACGGTATCACAGGTCCTGCTGTAGGCCTCCCTAGGATACGCCTCCCTAGGCCTATTTGTACTCGAACCTGGGAGGGAGAAGCCAGATTGTGGACTTCAAGAACGGGAAGGCGTGAAATCCATGTTGAACCAGGTATTGCCTAAAATAATTAATATATATGTAGTTTCCTAATTTTTAAGTCGAAACCTTCCTGTGACCTTACCCCGATTTGCAAGAACAAGAAGAATCGATGTGATTTTATGCTGAAATCTCGATGTGAAACCATGGAGATGAATAAGACTTCCGCATCAATCGCCAGTGATTTCCATCAACTTTAGTGTTATTATTTTAATTATATGAATGTATACTTGCAAATAGTAATTTAGACCTCTTTTTAAGACACTTTCTGATACATTTTTATGATTCGGTAGAAACGTAAAACAGATATTGTCCAGAATACCTAGCAACTACTCTGTGCCCGCGACCGCACAGCCAGCCATGTTTTCTTCTACAAAATGATGTTGTTTGTGGGACCTTAACAACAATATCCAAGAGGCGGGGCTTAGCGGAAAGGTCTATTAGTCGTTAAAACATATATGTGTTTAGATTACTTTTAAAACTTTAGTCAAGAGAAACTCAAATATGATCTTGAAAATATAACTTTTCAAAAAAAAATATGATTCCGGACAGATAGGCCTACAGAATTTATGTATCTAATGATACAGTATAGGCAGATTTTGTCTGAAAGTAGTATAGGTTGAAAGCTTGGTAAAATCGTTAATTAGTCGTTAAAACATATATGTGTTTGGATTACTTTTAAAACTCTAATCAAAAGAAAGTCAAATATGATCTTAAAAATATAGATTTTCAAAAAAAATATGATTCCGAACAAATGAGATACCGGTAACAGATTTTTATGTATCTAATGATAAAGAATAGGGAATTTTCTCTGAAGTCAGCAGGCCTAATGATAAAGAAAAATGTTAACTAGTGGATAAAACATATCATTGTCTGTATTCTTTTCAAACCTTTATACAAAAGAAATATATCTAGAATGTTAAAAATACAAAATTCATAAAAAATTATGATCTGAACAAAACCCTAAATGAACTAAAACATTTTCAATGCAAAAGAATGGGGAAAAGCCGTTCAGAAAAAAAATGCTAAAATTTACAAATTTAAAAGATTTAGCTTTAAATTGTTAGTTAATTTGTAATAATATTTGAATATTTAATTGATTGTGATTATTTATTAATGTAATTATGATGTGATTAAGTTGTGTTTATATGTGATATTTTGTGTATGTGTGATAGTTGAATGTGTTTTGTTATCATCGTATTTTGTTGTTTTTGTAGGGCCGCTGGTCGTTATTATATCTGATTGTGTTGTACAGCCCACCACGTGATGTCGTCGCTGAGAGTTTGAAATCAGCGACGGCAGAAACAGTGGACTACGTGCACTGGGTGAGTAGAATTATGTATCATTACAATTACGACATCAACACACAAAATACAACAACACAGCATCTATACACAACATACCATACATCACTCTACATCAATTCTTACCTAACAACAACAATTTATTACACTTAAAACATATTTTAATCATTTATCCACAATATAAATATGATATTTTATTGTATTTTAAGATCAATATTGATCATTTATTTATTTATTGTTTAAATTTCCGCATTGTTAACGTGTAAAAAATAACATTTCTTTAGATTGCTTAACTGAGTGACAGCAGTTCATCATGGGCCAAAAAAACTTGTCTAAAATTGCTGGAAATCAGGTTTACATAGAAAATTCCCATTCATGTTTGGTGTTGTTTTGGTCCACTTTTAACACTGCATATAATTATTATAATTTTCATTAAATTATCCATAAAAAGTACAATACCTTATTTTTTTTTTTTTTAAATGATGATTTAAAATGTACAAAACATAGGGCGTCCATGTTGTGTGATACAGCAAAATGAATGTAAAAAAGTTGGTTTATATAGTTTGCTTTACATGAAAATTTCACAATTCGTGTTTGATTTTGTTTTGATCTGTATTGAGCACTGAATTCAATAATTGCAATTTTAATTAGATACTCCATAAAATTAAATTACCTAAAAAATATTTTTAAAGAGATGATGTGTTGTATTCTCTGTTTTCATATTCCTTGTTCATTGTGTAGCTTGACGGTGATTGCATTCTACATCACATTGCACTCGGCTACGCACAGGAAATGAGAAAATCTCTGATGATTTCTGCACGCAATGTCAATTTGCAAGACAAGGTGGTACGTATAGGAAACAACACATTATTCATTATAAACACTAAATGACAATTCACCATCTTCAAATTTATTAATCCATCATCACAAGCATTTATCACAATTTCATTATCATTAATTGTTAATAGCCAAGACTTATAATAAATAACAATAAATAATTAAATGATAACAATTCAAAAAATACTAATTTATATTTTTCGTGAAATATAGGCCTCTATGGTTTTAGTTTTTAATACTTCGACTGGTTTTTTTGTGGAGCCAATTCGATGCCCTACTGAGAGCTAGGCTAGGCCCAGACACATTATTTGAAACTTTTACGTGTTATTTAGGTCACAGACCTTGGCACTTGATTAAGGCCTGTCTGATGGTGACACTTGTCTATAGAAGGCTGCTGTGAAATGCAAGGCCTGTCTGGTGGAGTAGAGCTGCCTATGTCTTATGAATGATGTAATTACTATTATTATTATAGGCATACTCCTATTAAGTCTTAGTTAGGCCTAGGACTAAAGGTTTGTTTCATTAAACAGGACGTCAACGCTAGACTATCCAAGGCTAGGCCTACACCTACCGTCAGCTACTAGGCCAGGGTATATTAATCCATTTAATTTGCTAATTTTTCTAATGTTAATAATGGTTCTATTTTATAAATTGTCTTTTTCGTATTGTTCTCCATGTTGTGTCCATGGAATTAGTGAAGAACAGCATTAATATTTTGTATTTAAATTTTACTGTTCAATTTTTAATTTTCTAATGGTTAAAAAATATATTATTATTTATTATTATTATTATCATTGTTATTATTATTGTTATTATTATTATTATTATTTCTGATCCAACATTCCATCTCAGTAGTAAACCTTGACGCCACCCCCCCCCCTGTCTCCAGACAAGAACCCCTACTCCTCACTGAGTGGCCCTGGATATGACTATGAGACTTCACATAAATTTAATTACTTGCCCATCCAAACTTTTTTTTTCTACACGTACCCTACCCACCCTGGCACTGCCACGTCTCTCTGATGATTTCTGCTAGATTCAATTTAATTCAATTCAATTTAATTTCTTTCATATTGCCAGTGGGCCATCCACACAACATAATTACATGACAGAAATAAATCATGACAGAAAACAAGTGACAATAATAATAACATGTCGTTCTTATATAGCGCTTAATGCCTTAACAAAGCTTCTAAGCGCTTCAATGTACTAATATATTGTCTATTAACATCACTCCAATAGTGCCTTATGACCAGCATACCCCACCCTACTGAAGTATACATCGCTGGTAGGGACATATCCACAAAGGTCCTAATGACCTGCATACTCCACCGAATATGATTGCTTAAATTACTATTTTACATTATTTGTATTACATTCTTTTAATTATGTTGATTTATAGTCATTGAATGTTGATGTTAAATCACTTTTATTTCAATTCATATGAAATATATTCATACAAAAAATATTGCAATTTGCATAACATGATACAAACAATAAAAAAATTAAAGTAATTACTGAATAAAAAAATAATAAATACTTCTCCCCAGGTTACATCCTTAAAAGTGATGAACTGGGCGAGAGAATCGAGCAAAAAAAATTACATTTGTTTGTATTTCTACCAACTCAGTTCCTGAGTGTCAAAGTACTGCGGATCACCAAACTCGTCCTCAGTGACGAGTTCAAATCTAGTTTTATATTATTAATGTTTAAAAATTAAGAATAAGAGTGGATTTCCTTTGAATGTTGATTAATATGATCATATGAGTTGTCATTTATTGATTCACTCTTTCTGTTTCCAATGTGTTACAGTGGCAAGAGACTCCACTTCACAAGCTGTTAAAAACCAAACATATCAGAGATCACCTTGACATTGCAAGACTTCTTTTGGATGCCGGGGCTGATGTAAATATAGAGAATAAGGTAAAATATACAAGATATATAGTGGAGTAAATAATGTCATTCAAATTTGTATAAATGTATGGATGTCACATGATTGCTGCTATTAGATAAGAAATACAATATGTTGGTGTAAATTGTATTTTGGAGATACCCCTACAGTATAAACATAGTAATATTAATAATAATATTAATAATTTATATTAATACATAAATTTTGAGTGTTTTAATAACTTAATGATGATGATGCTTCCAATGATTCCAAAGGTGATGGTTTGGATCGTGATGACAATTCTGAAGTAGATGGTGATGATAGCTTTAGTAGATATGAGCAGCTTAGCTCAGTCGGCTAATCTGGTGGTGGTTATTTGTGTTTTCCTGTTTATACATGTTTACTTTTAGATTTGGCTTCAAATCTATATGGCAACAGCCCCCGCCCTTCCCAAAAAAAGGCCTTGTATTGTTAGTTAAAAGAAAGCTATTACTGAAACCTTTTCTGAATTCTTTCAAAATAATAATTTAATTCCATATACTGTACTCCTTCCCATTTAAAGTTTGTCTGGTTTTTTGCATATGTTTCATAGTTCATCTTAGTATACTTTTTGCGGGAGCAACACTGAAAATATTTTGTTTCTTCTGTCAATTGAGTGTTTAGATTCTAACTTGCTATAAATTAAACATTGCTTGAATTTTAACTGAAATTGTGCAAATAATCCACGTACCTCTACCTTGTATACTCATTTCTAATGTTTTTCTGTTTAAAGTAAAGGAGGTTATACCTACTACTATTGTGTTTAACGTTAAATTAAAATAAGGTACTTCCACAGATTTAAAATGATATCTACAAGAGAAAGAATGATTTGTTAAAAATGAAATGAGAATGTTATAAATAAGGAATGACTAATGTTTTACTGTTCTTTTCCTTTTGCCTTGAATGTCTTTGTCATGTTTTTTTGAAGATGAATAAAAAAAAAAAAAAGATAATCTGGTGGTAGCCGTTGTGTGTGCGCTGAACCATGGAGATCTCTAGGTCCCTGGTTCAATTCCCATCGCTGCCTCTTATAAGAGACAGGGTTCAATTGCTGCCTCTCCTTGTGATTCAGCTAGAGGGCTGAAATACAAGTTACAATAGCGCACCGTCTTTCGGATGAGACGTTTAAGCCGTTGGTCCCGTGTGCATTATGGCCCATGTGCACGTTAAAGAACGCAGTACACTCTTCATAAAAGAGTAGGGGATTGTCTCCCGGTGTACTGCCCAATCACCACCAGAATGACCCCACTGGAAATAAGTCGTCTTCTAGACTTTTGTGGGCTCTCCTTGGTGTTTACACCAAATAAATCAAATCCTATAGGTACATTATTATTATATTGTATCCGTTTGTTGTTTTCAATGTTTATCAATAATTGAATTGCCTTTTACTGTTTGTCCATGTCTTTCATTTTATGCAGCAGGCAAAAAGAATTTATTTCATCACATGTTTGGTTAATGATAATAAAGCAATCTTGAATCTTAAACTATTTTATATTATGAAGGTGATTGCAGTTCCATTGGTGATGTGGAAAATGAAAATAAGACCAATTCAGAAAATAAGACCAATTCCAAAAATAATATAAAAAATTTGCTTACAGCTTGAGCAGTGGGCTGATCTAGGATTAAAGAATAGAGGATGGCTAGGTAGTGTATACAGGTTGTTCATGGAGGCCTCGACCCCAGAACTTTCCACATTCTGAGGTCTGTTAATGATGTTGAAGTCTCATACAAATAAATAAAATAATTCTGGCTTTTCTGTTGACGGATAATATCATCAAGGCCAGATGAAATTATTTGATAATATGATAATAATGATTACATAAACAGCAGCACAGTGTCAGTAGTGGAGCCTAATATGAGAGAAGAGAGTCCATGGCTGGGGTAAATGAGGGTGGGAATGAGATGAGCTTAATTGTAGGTTATTTGGTAAAATGTAAACCACTCCACAAAGCATGTTGACTTTAGAAATGTTAACTTTGTTTCTATTACTTGGTATAAAGGGATTGCTCTAGTCTAGGCCTATGTATTTTTGTGGGAAATGTTATCCATCCTATTCACTTCTCCCCATCCCAGATCTATCCTTGCTTGAGTTATTTAAATTGCTGTTGTTGCTGCTTGATTGATTGACAAAGATTCTGAAGACCACCGGTACAGTAAATTAGCACAACAAGCGATTGTGTTGTTAAGGGAATGTTCTTGTAATCAATACTTATGATTGAATCTTTGCAAGATATAAAAGAAAATTGCACTGATATGTACGTATAATATTTCTTGTGATTATTTTTGTGTGATACTTTCTATGAAGTATTTTTTAAAGTAGAATGATCGATATTGATTTGTTTTAAGTTTTATGTGTTATTATTTTTACAGGACAATCAGACGCCACGTGACCTCTATATACAGAATGAATGTGAGGAGTATGATTCTACAAATAGAGAAAAACACAAGGAAGAAGTCTTGCAACTTCTGCAAGGTGAGCAGTTCCTACAATTTAATTATTCATGTTATTGTTTATGATTAAGTAGTTTAATGTTATTTTATCTCCTGCTTATATTAATTGGATAATAATTTATTATTATCCGCTGTAAACAATGTCTTGCAGTCAAGCTTATTGTACATCACAGATGTTTACTCGTTCATTTATTTGTCACAAAAAAGAAACAGCAAGGAACAGCACAAACAAAGATGAGACAGGACACACCAAAAGTGAACTTTTAAAGTTGGGGTCCTTTACAGAAAGCAAATACTTACAATAAAGTAAATATTTAACATTCAAAGTTAAAATATTCCTCAAGCCCATGTACCTACTTCGGTATTTCATATCACCCTAATAATTTTGAGTCTAGAATATCATAAGAATCAACTTCTAAATGTTATTATTATTTGTTTAATTATTTGTTTAATACAATATTGTTGATGATGATTATGACAATAACGGTGAAAATGATAATATTTTTAAGACAATAAGCAAGTCATCTTATTTTTTATAAATGATTATTTCCCTATATCCATTTCCATTATAATAATATTTGAAATGTTATAATAATGAGTCATTTACATAGGATCATGTTTTCTTAATTATTTTAACTTTTTAAAAGATTTTTATTCACATGTAACCTGTCTTTGTACATTTATTGTTAAAAAACAATATTTTGCTTTTGTAAATTAGACTTTGCAGTTCCAGAGGTAATTTTAGCCAGAGGCAGTGAGGCTCTGAAGGTTTTTAACGAGGAATTACAAGAAGGAAGGATCACAGTAAACCATGCACGAATAATGGTGACAGGCAAAGAAGGGGTGGGAAAGACTTGTTTGGTGAACACTCTGCTTGAAAGAACGTAAGTTTCCGAAGTGCTGTATCTGTCAATGGATTTCCAATATAAATGTTGCTGTATTGCTGTACTTTTTTATACAAGTTTTGTATTTTATTTGCTTTCTATATATTAAAAAAAAAATACAGTATGATGCCACGTAAATATTATTGTTTAACAACAACATAACATGCATGTACTTAATTGTCATTACCCATACATCCAACAGCATGTTTTGTTGTATATACTGTACTATAGACTGTATGTCGGAATTTATATCTAACATCTCCTTTATATTTATATGTTTGACTTCTTAAAATTTTTCATGGGAAGTATTATCCAAATGTAATTTCCTTTCTGACAATAAAGTTATCTTGTATCTACTCCTCCATGTAACCACAACTCAATCATGGCACTTAAATACTACAATATGTACATATACAATTCAACAATTCAAGCAGTAATTACACTGCTCTTTCCACAGATTTAATGAAGAAGAACCATCGACTGATGGAATAGTGTTGACGACTGCTTTTCAAACTACTGATATAAGTAGTGTGTGGAAAGAGGCAGAGGACATGGACGGTATGACAAGAAACAATTTAACTTTAAAATCCTGATTCTCATTTGTGACTCAAGCTTTGATGAATTTCTTTATCTTTCATAGAATGTGAACGGATCAAGGATATACTTGATAATGCATTAGAAAGTAAAGTGGCTGAGAAATTGAAACAAATGAGAAGCCAAGCAGAGGCAGCTGAACCAGTACAAGCATCAGCAGGAAAGTCAACACCTGTACCTCCACTGGTACACGCCCCTAAAAAGGAAAGTCGCAGCAAACCAGGTACATCCTCTACACCTATATTGCCATCTGTGCCTGTTCCAGTTAAGGTAGGACATGACATAGTAATAGTATGTGTGTTCATAGTGTCTTCAACAGATTATCAGATAAATTATTACAACTGTGGGATTTAATAACACGTTTTTAGTAGATTTGCATTATTTCAGCCTTCATCATTGAGACTCAATGTTTCTCACAGCATGCATTGTTGTTCTTCTGTATATTGCTTTTAAAATATTTCAAGTTAAAATAATTGTGTACACCTCTGTCACTATAAACCTCTGGTTAACCATTGATTTGATTTAGTTTGGTTTTAAAATACTGAACAAAACAATGTACTCTGTGTAAACATTCATTTTTTTTCCTGAGCCATCAATTGTTTTTGCCCCAAAAACTTTACTCAGAAATACAAATATTGTATATCACTGGCGATAGTTTTCCTATTATATTCCTAGTGGGGGACTTCTTTGCAGCCATCCAGGTAGTTAATATTCAATTGACCTGCACAGAGCAATTAATCCTAATAAGACTTTATTTACAAAAAAATAAATATTAGTGTAAGTGCATAGTGATGACTAGATTTCAACTTTTAATTGTAAATAGAAATGCAGGAAATTATTTTTTTTAAAAAAGACCATTTTAAATTATTTTATATTTATATTTTATTTGTTATCTCCGGATCTATTTATTTATCCTAGGGAAGCCATTCAAAGACCAAATTAAAGCTTATAATGTGATCTACCAAAATATAATATAAACTCATTTTTTGATTTTCTAACAATGATACTCATTTTGTAGTGTGACCTAACATTGGATCTAAAAAGCTGGTAAAATGTCTTCATACTTATTTTTCTACCTTTAAATGGAATTCATTTCTTTGTTTCCTCAAGCATCAGGCAAGCAAATATCGCTCGTTTTTCGTACCATGTCGATTGAAACGTAGCAAGGACAATGTGTCTATTGAACCGGACACAGCTCAGATGGTATCTATCTACATGGCCTCCGAGGATTTCATCCCTGATAGTGTCTTCCATCCTCTAGTTGTGAGCTTGATTGGAATGGTACAAGACATGGGCTACACAGCCATGCTGGAATTATTTAGCAACTATGCAGACATCAGCCTAGGACTTGAACACACTCTCAGCTTAGGACCAGTAGTCATTAATAACAAGCCCTCATTGAAGGTAAGACGTTCAGTGATGTCATTTAGTTACTAATTATTTGAGTGATTATTTGAGTGATTGGTAATGAAATTAAGTAGTGTTTTTCTATGAGTTATTTTGATGTGATGTTGCAAATTTTTTGTTACAGTGTTAAGGAGGGTATTTTACAGCAGCAGATCCTGGTGGCCGTCACTAAGCCACTCACAACCACCCCCCCCCCCCCTTGAATACAATTGTAACAAGAAAAAGAGAAAAAAGGTGGAGCATGGTACTCTAAAATAGCGATTTTATAAAAGTTTCTAGAAAAATCTCAAACCCCCTTCACTGCTTGTTACTTTGCATTTCGCATTACGCCTACCTAGATTCGGGGCATGCACTATTGAATTGTTGGTTGATTTTAATGTTTGTATTTCAGCTGGAAATATCCCGAACGCCTATCATTCATGAGGACAATACCAAGACATCAACAGGTGAACCCAGTCCTAGAATCTGTATGCAGGTAATCTAGTTTGATAAATGAAATCTTGCAATTGAAATAGCAACTGTAAAATTACACAAATCAGTGGTGATGTTCTTTATTAATGATATTACTTGGAGAATCGTAGGCATTAGTAGAGTTTTCCAGGCAATGGTAATAGATGTGTATTTATATAGTGCATATTTGATACAGTTTCTATGCATTGAAAGTTTTTCCCCTTCCCAATTTTTCCTCTAGATTTTAAAATGTTAGTACATACAATGTTAAGTGTTGAAATAAGACACACTAGAAAACAAGATCTTTCCACTCCCCCTTTCCCCTGTTCAAAAAATTCTGGATTCCCTTTTTATTGCCTGTTAAATTGTTGTATTTTATCATTGAGCATATCAAGTCAATTAAATCATAAAATCTAACAAAACAAATTGTGAAACCAGTGTTTTTTATGATTCTTTCCTTTTAATACATATATTTTTTCTTAATATATTTTGTAATATTTTCAATGTTATTTTCAAATTATTTAAAAAATCCTCATTCAAGGTGTTAGAGTTTCTGAAGAAAGAGATGGAAGTGCTGACATCTGGAATGAAGCACACACGTTATAAGTTCTGTGTGCTGTGCTGGACAGGTTTGCGAGAAATGCACTTCCACGATTTGGAAGAGTGCCTGGAAAACGCCTATATCCGATGCTCTAAGAAATTAGTAACCACTGCCAAACTACAGAGGATGTTCAAGAATAAGCAACTAGTGACAGGTAAATAACATAAACTAAAGGAAAACTAGCAATACCAGATAGCAGTTTACTGTACCTCATGAAAATGTTAATTAGGTATAAATACAGGTGGGTCATTCCGTGCCAACTCAACAAATGGGATGGCTGGGTACCGTCTCAGATTTTCTGGAAACTCGGATATAATGTGCACCAACATGTCTGACGAACAAACCCAAAATTTGACTTGCCAATTCCAAGTCGTTTAGAAGTTACGGCCATTTGAAATTTTAGGGTTTAGCTATCAATTATGACATATTTGTAAAGTTGCATTTTCAATTAGCCATATCTTCAAATAGAATAAAGATAATTAACTGAAAATTGATATCTAGACAAACTTTTGGTTGTAGAACAGGAATATGACATGACTTTTGGTATACCGGACCCCATTACGAAAATATTGGTTCGTAAACACCCTAACTTATTTGGTTGCGTAATTTTTCTTCCATTTTTAGACCCCATTAAAATACCCAAATCAGTTATTAAATGGGTCTTATGCACCAAATTATAATTATATAGTTGGAAATGTTTCACTTTGTTTGACTTTTAACTTATCATTTTAGGGGGTAATCGTAGGTCAAAAGGTCATTCGGGACAAAAAATGCACAAAAATGCCTCATTTTCATGGTGACCTTTGACCCTGTGGGCAAGCACGCTTGTTGTTAAAACTTGCTCCATTAATTAAATTATATATGATGATCAGATGTTCCAAATATCAACTTGGTGTCTTTATCCCTTCAGGTTTAAAAAGCGATTTGAAAAGGGGTATATTTTTCAATTTGTGACAGTATCAGTGCGTAAATGTGATAAAATTAATTTTTGAATAACGATAATATTAAAAATAATCTGCCTAGACCCTTGAAACTTATAATTCTAAAACAACTTTATGTGCTTATTTCAGGCATGCAGTTCTTTAAGGGATATAGTGTTTCATTAGTAAGATATGTCCCCCCCAAAAATGGCCCAAGTACAAGAATTGCGCAATAAAATTGTATTTACTGTTGATTTCAAATGAGCATAATATTATCCGTGTACTGTCTAGAGTCGTGAAACCTTTTATTCTAGGACAACTTTTTGTGTTGATTTCAGTTATGCAGTCTGTTAAAGGGATAAATTGTTTAATTAGTAAGATATTATGCCCCAAAAATGGCCCAAGTGCAAGAATTGTGCAATAAAATTGTGTTATGATTGTTGATTTCAAATGAGCATAATATATTATCTGTGAACGGTCTAGAGCCATGAAACCTTTCATTCTAAGACAACTTTTTGTGCTGATTGCAGTTATGCAGTTTGTTAAAGGGATAAATTGTTTAATTAGTAAGATATTTTGCCCCAAAAATGGCCCATGTGCAAGATTGTGCAATAAAATTGTGTTTACTATATTATTGATTTCAAATGAGCGTGATATTATCCATGTACTGTCTAGACAGCCATGAAACCCTTCCATTCTAGGACAACTTTTTGTGCTGATTTCAGGTATGCAGTCTGTTAAAGGGATGCATTGTTTAATTAGCAAGATATTTTGCCTCAAAAATGGCCCAAGTGCTAAAATTGCGCAATAACATTGTGCGACTAATATTGATATATTTCAAATGAGCATAACATTAACAGTGTTCTGTTTAGAACCATGAAACCTATATTCTAGTACACATTTGTATGCTTATTTAATTCATGACGTCTGTTAAGGGACAGAGTGGTTAGTTAGTATGATATTTTGCACCAAAAAATGGCTCAAGTGCAAGAATTGCATAGCAACATATATTTTAAATATGAGCACAATATTATCAGTGTACTACTGCCTATAGCCATAAAACCTTTAATTCTAGAAAAACTTTTGTGCTTATTTCAGTCACGTAGTCTGGTGGTAAGGAACACAGTCTTTAATTAGTAAGATATTGTACCGACCCCAGAATTGTGAAATAACAGTGCTTTTCACCATTCTCGCACAAGAGCCACTTTTGGGGGCCCAATATCTTAATAATTAAACATTGTGTCCCTTACCACCAGAGTGCATGACTGAAATAAGCACAAAAGGTTGTTTTTGAAGTAAAAGTTTCATGGCTCTAGACAGTACAATGTAAAATTTATGCTCATTTAAATTCAATGTCACACAATGTTATTGCTCGATTGTTGCACTTGGGCCATTTTTGGGGCAAACTATCTTACTAACTATTAGTTAATAAGATAAAAGACTGTATCCCTTAACAAACTGCATGAATTAAATAAGTGTACAAATATGTACTAGAATTTAAGGTTACATGGTTCTGAACTGTACACTGTTAATGTTATACTCATTTTAAATCAATGTCACACAATTGTTATAGTGCAATTTTGCGCTTGGGCCATTTTTGGGGCAAAATATCTTACTAATTAAACAATGCATCCCTTTAACAAACTGCATAACTGCAATCAGCACAAAAAGTTGTCTTAGAATGAAGGTTTC